AGCCAATTTCGCTGTTTCTATTGCATTTAACATTGGCTATCAAATATATTAATGATTAAGAAATTAGATTTATTAGCATGGGAAATTCGGCAGGAGTGATAAGACATTTGGCGTTGTCATTGTGAGAAAAAGCGCATGAGTGTAGAACTCTGTAATTTAATGGAATCCGTCACAAGACGTCTGCTTAAATAATATTTGGGCTCCAGACAGACATTATGCAATCACATTAGTGGTATTTTCGCAAAGGGCGTACGTTGATACCGATGCCTAATTACTGTTGATTTATGTCTTCTTTTTAGGCTCGTAATCACCTCGTAAACCTCATGCGTTCTGTTAATGGAGGAGGTAGCATCGCGAATAGAAGATTCTCAGAGCCTCCCAGGTACAACTATTCTCCCATCAAGCAGGCAGTAGACCCTTCCGGTGAAAGATTATCTGGAAGGTCTGATGGTAGTGTTCCAGCCGTACTGACTTCTGAAAACATGTCCACTTCATCTTCGGGGAGCTCCGTTACACCAAAGAACCTACGACAGAGGTATACTTCCACTATTTCACTGAGTATCTGCTCCTCAAATACATCTTCACCAACTTTGAATGTGAGTTCGGCCAACTCAACAATTAGATCGCCTAAGACTCCCTCGAAAGCAGCAACAGAAAGTAATGGTGAGATAATAGAGGTTTCATCCACAAACTTTGCAGTATTTTTGCGCCTTACCGATTGTTTAATTGATTTTATTAGCTCTGACAAATGTAACCACCCCAACAACTTTCAACGGTCAAAATTCAAGTAGTTCCAATGGCAGTGACTCCCTGGATCAACAGAATACTCTACGAAGTACCTTGAATTCCACTCCCATTCATCGAAATCAAAGCGCTAAGTATATGAGTCCAATAGCAACGAACCAAAATTCCCACCTTTCTAGTCAATTGAAGAGTGCCAGTTCCACTATTGCTGAGATTGAAAAGGAAGTAATTTCAGTGAATCCAAATGTCAACCGTCCGATTATTATCCGAGAGATTGAGGAGGAAGAGGATCAATGCAGTGATATTGACATGGAGTCCTCGGGAGAGTACGAGAAGGAAGAGGTGTCGGTAATTGAGAGAGTTAAGGAGCCAACTCAAGTGAAAGAACGAAATGAATCATTTGTGGAGGTTTCAAAGATGGTAAGCTTAATTTATAAGACTGAAACATAGACCTATATATCTACGATTTTCAATCCTTAGTCATATTTAAGATTTGCAGACATATGCTGTCCACAGAGTAAAAAGTTAGAATAGCCAAAATCATTTTGCCAACAAACAGATTTTATCGTGATTGACAATGATTTTGGAAAGACAATAAAATAATCTTGAACCGAATGGATCACGAACCCAAAATTAATTAGATCCAGATACGAGAATCAGCTGAAGTTTTATAAACAAAGAAATGGGACAATACTCTGACTCACATCTGTGACATCTGGATCGGTGAACTGTCAGGGAGTACTTGAATTGGTCCATGTTTTAGAGACTCAGTTAAAAGACCACTAATAGCGTCAGACTAACGCGTTGGTGAACGACTTCAATCAATTTTTATTTGTATCAAATGGCAGGCGTTTTGGTAGTTATCATTAGCTCTTTAGCTGACTTCGGGCTTCACAGAGGAAAGGAACAGACAAAGTCACAAAAAGTCGAGAGGGGGAACAGACGAATAATTTACAGTTGTGAAAGAGACAGACAGACAGACACAAAGGCAAAGGAAAGGGAAGGTAAGGTGAGTACTGTGAAAGTGGTGGAATATGACAAGGTAAGATGAGTACTGTGAAAGGGGTCAAATATGACAAATAGTCGAGGTAAGATGAGTACTGTGGAAGGGGTCGAATATGACATACGGTTGAGGTGAGTACTGTGAAAGTAGTCGAATATGACATACAATGAGGTGAGTACTGTGGAAGTAGTCGAATATGACATACAGTAAGGTGAGTACTGTGGAAATAGTCGAATATGGCATAGAGTGGGGAAGATGTAGAAGATACAGACACAAAGGTAGAAAAAAGGTGATGTGAGTACTGTGGAAGGGGTCGAATATGACAAGCAGTCGGGCAAAAGAGCCAGACAGACACAAAGACAGAGAAAAGGTAAGGTGAGTACTGTGAAAGTGGTGGAATATGACATACAGTGGGGTCATGGTAGTTTGATAGACTTTTTGACGTATGAGTATACGTTGCCCAGAGTGCACCACGTGGAGTTAGGTCTGTTGCATGCCCCACCCCAATCAATTGAGTCTACGGAAATTGATTTTTGGACAGTAAAAGGATTACAATTCGTTTGACACCCAAATTTGTATATCCATAAACTGATGGATTTCAAAGTGATGAGGATTAACAGTTGTGTGCTAATGAACTTGTTAATAGTTTGAACTGAGGAATAAATTCAGTTGGTGTCTTTCCGAAAAGCGACTATAAACACGACTTCGTCCAGTTTTGAGATTACATTTTTAGTTTGAGAGGAGAAGTTAGAAATGGCTTAGGAAATAAATTTTTTGTAATGTTAAATTAATAACTAAATTTTTCAAAGAGTAGGTAAACGAGTCAGCATTAGATGTGTCTCACACACACCCGGACTCAATTTCTGATTCTGCTTGCTTCTAGAATCTTGAAGATGAGGGCTGTGTAACAGACGTCAATGGCATTATTGTTTACACCCCCGCTACTTCTGAGTATCGAAATCTCTTCCAATCAAACCGAGATGATCTCAAACACTTCATAAAACGCGTCTTACAACAAGTTCAGAGTGAATCCAGTGATCAAGTAAGTGTTAAGGAATATTTCGTAAGAGAAAATTGGAAATCGGCTTTCCACTAACACTTTCTCTATTTCAGATCGTGTTTGCTGTTGGAAAACCCCCAGAACCGACTTTCCGTCTGTGTAAGTTAATCTACGACGAAATACCCTATATTCTAACCTCCACCAAGGAATTAATTAACAACGCTTTCCTCATATCGGAGAAACTCCTTGGTCGACAGGAGTTAAGCATTCGTGGAATGGAATTCGTATTCTCTAGAGATCTTCGACTAATCGATGGTAAAGTGTTATTCAAATGCTAGATACTACTCCTGTATATTTATAAGTAATAACCTTCTCATTTATAGTAACAATGAATACCTACCTAAATGCAAATACCTCAGCCCGACAAATCTTCAAAAATCCTCTATTTCGCGCCTTTAATAGCTACGTAACTTCGAGGTAATGATATATTACTTGATGGGAATTATAAGTAGCATAAATTTAATGAAAAGCTAACATGCCACACTTGCTTATAGGTCGTCTGAAACCTCTCCAACCAAAGGTATGCAATATAAAAATACTGTTTTTCTTTGTCCTGTCAGACACTAACAGAGCATTTCTTGCAGATCTTGCTGAAATTGTACAATTTCAATTGCTTATCATGTCAGCCGGGTTCGGTCCCCAAGTAACTTTGCCATTTTCAGACTCTTATTAAATCCTTCATTTACCATAGGAGATTGTCGGACTATACCGTTTGATGATTGCTATGTCTGCAATCCGATTTATAAAACAGAGCAAACCGCGACAGTCGACCAATTATGGAAGACTGAACTCCCTTCCTGAAGATTTGTATTTATGCATTCAAAAGAGGATTCTTCATGGAAAGGTTGCAGCTCCGCATGCCTTATCAGATTTTACCGCAAATGAAGGTAAACTAGTGTTATTTTAACAGTTAACTTCAATGCATTTAGTGGCCCGATTAATTGGAGTGGACGAAAAGGCCTTTAACAACTTGGTATTTTCAAGGAGCTCATGGAGAGAACATGCTCGTGGCAATGTTATCTCCAAGCAATTCTGGCGCTATCTGCAGTTCCGAAAGAGTAAACTAGTAGGAATACAATTGTTGTGTGTATTCTTCTTTTTAGTTGTCTCCAACTAGTAGCACATACTCCCAGAATGATTCTGGGTTCTTTGAGGATTATTCAGGCTCCCGAAAGAGATGTCTAAAGATGCGAAAACCAATTCAACAGATACGAATTAGGAAACGTTATTTCAGGAAGGTGACTAGGACAAGAAAACATCTGGAACTCGATCATCGTGCTAATATGAAGCACATTTATCATCCAAGCAGGCAAAATGGAGTCAGACCACATCGAACTGTAGTAGAAATGATTTGCAGAAAACTTCATCTCCTCTGTGTTTCGGTGGTACTCAATAAGCTCAATTCGATGTTACATTCGTCTCTGAACAGGTAAACGCATCTTTGAAGTGATTTAGTTAAACTTCGCTATTGAACTGTAACTTTACCCGAGGCGTGCTGGACCTTTTAGACACAGATCCAAATGAATTTCAGTTTACAGCCACTGAAAATCTAGTTCGTCCAAATTCTGTCATTTAACAGGGAAGATTGGTGCGTGGTCAGTTACTGTAAAGGACGTTTAGACAAGATGGATCAATTGTTGATTGATTATGGGTCTGAAGTTATGCCTGGGGCTTCTATTATAGACACAACTTTATGAACCTAAGAGATTAGACCACGTGTGACAGTCTTCTGTCTGCCCTACAATAAATAACTTCTTACACTGGAATGTATCATGTAGCAAAACGGTGTTCTATTTCACCCCCAAAAGGGGTGTATTTTCGATATCGTTTAAAAGTCATCCTTAACTGTGCTCATCTACTTAGGTGATTTAAACAGATTTCTTCGTTA